CAGAGAGGGTATGTAATGAACTAAAAATCACGGAGAATTTGAATCCAAGAGTAATTTAAAAGATGCAAAGAGGTTTTTGACAGAAATTGGATGAGAAAAACCTAGGGCATAAGGTTTCAACCATTACACTTTTTTATGTTTTCTTTAGTTTAATCCCAATGTTAATTTCTTTAGTGTTTACTAACCACCTATACTTAATCTATTAACACCAAATGATCATACAATGTTAATATTTTTTTTCCTAAACGATTACCTCAATGATCATGCATGGCAAAAGATAGAGAAAGCATGAAGAACCTAAGAGTTTGTTAATTAAATAACGATTGGAAGAGAATGATTAAGTTTGATTCGCCTAACCTTCTTTCCCCATTCTATTCTATAGTTCCAATAACTATATGTAGTATAATTGCCTATGATGCAATTAACTATGAGATGCTAAGGATAATTAGTTCTTAACATGAATAATTTGATTTAATAGGACAAAAACCAAACACACAAAGAAAATAACATTATTATTAAACATAAAAATCACATAGAAAGTGTGATAGGATCCACCATAGTCCTAGCTTTGGATTTAACTACTCATAATGAAATAAATAACAAAAAAAATAATCAACCAATTCATAAAACACAAAGGAGAATTCAAACAAGAGAAACCCAAAAGGAAAAAATAATAAAAAGAGTTCTCGTTTTCAAGGGGTGCTCAATCACTCACTCAGACTCTGAAGAGGTTCATTGTCTTCGCCAATAATCTTCAATAACTCTCAATGGTAAAGTGAGTTATAACTAAAAGGAAGAAGATGATGAGTAGAAAAAGGTGTGGAATGAAGTGGAAAAGTTAGAAGTCAGCGTAAGGCTTCTTTATATAGGATGTGTCCTAAGTTCCTGGTTAGTTAAGTTCTTATCTTTGTGAATCGATTTTATCCACAAGCAGAATTTGGATCCAAACTTTCACAGGGTTTAAATTTTGAATTTAAACTTTTGAACAAAAATCTATCTAACACGGCCGTGCACCCTCATCCAACATTAAAATCATATTTTACTAACTTTTGCTAACCTTTGGTGCAATTATTCCATCACTCATCAAATATAACACCCTTTTTTTTATTTATTTGTCATCTAATAAGTTATTTGATATTAAGTATAGTTGAAAGGTTTTTTAATTTGAATTAACTAGCATTTGATAAAGTTCTAGTGCAGGGAGTCTCACTTAAGCGAGACTAAGCACCTAGAATCACGTAATTTTAGGACAATCTCGCTCAAGCGAGAATAGGATATACTTGGCCCAACTCACTTAAGCGAGACTAAGCATCCAGAATCACATGATTTTAGGACAATCTCGCTCAAGCGAGAATAGGATATACTTGGCCCAACTCACTTAAGTGAAACTAAGCACCCAGAATCACATGATTTCAAGACAATCTCGCTCAAGCGAGAATAGGATATACTTGGCCCAATTGTCCTCTCGCCCAGGTGAGACGTGATCTTGCTCAAGCGAGAAAAGATCTTGTTCAGGTGAGATGAGTCGCTCAGACAATGACTCACAGGAAAATTAGCCAACTCTCTGGACACCTTGCTCAAGCGAGAATGACCCTTGCCAAAGTAGAAATATCAAAAATTGCATATAATAACTACTGTCTGGTATTATCACCCAGGCGAGATATGTCTTGCTTAAGCGAGAGGTGCGGGGTTGATGGGTATTTAAGAGATTTCCAATATGAAAATTTCATTTCACTCCAAGTCTTACGTTCTCTCTTCATATTCTCTGAACTTTCACTCCATTTTCTCAAATAAAACCTTTTCAAACTTTGATCATTCCTCAAATCTGAACTTGGACGTCAAATCTAAACGACTCCAAGTAAGTTTCTCTGAGTTTGATTTTAGATTGTCCGTTCCTTTCTCTTTGTTTTCTATTTTTTAAAGATATCTCATGATATCTAGGAAAACTTTTGTTATTGATTGATGAATCCATATTTTGACTCATATTTTAGTATAATTCTAACCCATTTGATAAGGAAAACATGTAAGAAACAACGGAAAAACTAGAAAAATATAATAATTGAATGTTTTCTTTTATTATGTAGTTATCTTAACATTTGTGAAATTTATACTTGTTTTTATAGGAATAATCTGAGTAAGGTTCATGGAAATGGAAGATCAAGAGAAATGAAGAGGAAGAATAGCAGTTCTGGACTCTAAAACACAAGAACAATGGAATGCAGGCTGGGCATAATCACTATTGTCAATGAAAGTGATCACTCCAGAGCTCAAGGAAGAAGTAAAGTTTGGGCGTAACCACTTTTACCAACAAAAGTGAGTGTTCCATAGAAGGCAAAATTTCAGAGTATTCTGCGTAACCACTTTTATCATTGAAAGTGGATGTTCCAGAGAGTTCTCAACTTGACAAGTTGTGCGTGACCACTTTTACCCATAAAAGTGATTCTGCACAACGTCTCGACCTTCTGCGTTGCAACTCTTAGCAGTGAAAGTGATAGTTTCAGTTTCCAGAAATCACATGAGCTTCTGCGTGGCCACTCTTATCAGCAAGAGTGACAATGCACAGAATTGGAATTTTTATAAATACATGTTTTAAGCTCAAAACTCAGGGTCTTTTGTTCATTTTTCATTTTTTTGGTTAGAATCTCGTTGGGAGAGAGAGAGAGAGAGAGAGAGAGGATTGAGGTTGAACCTCGAAGCTTCAAGAAAAGGCATTGGATTGGAGCTTGTGGCTATGGCTTTTCTGAGTTTTTTCTCTTCTTCTCCTTCTTTCTTTTTCTCTGTCATAATGTCTGTTTAATTCTTTGTAGTTAGGAGTTTATAGACCTCGAATTGATGTATTGATTTGATTCTTACTTCTGAAATTTGAGTTTTTGGATTAATTAAGTTGTCAATTCTGCACTTTACGTAATCTTTGAATGAGAATTCATTTGATTAATCAAAGAGGAACATTTGCCAATGGGAATTGGATTTGATTCTCTGATCTGAATTAACAACTAGAATTAGGGGTTTCTTAGGGATAAATACACTTATTTCTGCAATCCTACGGTTCTAAGTTTTAATACAACATGAAATTGAACTTCACCTAAGGGATTATAGGGGTTTAGTGGATTGTTAGGGTCAATGAGTTAAGTGATTAACCTTTGACTAGTTATATGTGAAACTGATTGTCAATTAACCAATTGCTTGAATATTCAGAAGTATAATTGAATCAATAGTGACATTCTTGAGAAGTAAATCCCTAACTATTCATTCATTCATATCTCATCTCGACACAACTTTCATTCTCTGTTTTACTGCAAGTTTAATTCTTTGTATTGTTCTAGTTTATTGCTTGTACATATTACTACTCTTCCAAATTCGTATGACTCAAATAGTTATTATTCTGTGAATTGATAATTGATTTTCTAATTCCCTGTGGAATGATACTCTGATATTAAAATTACTCATTACTTGCTGTAATTTCTAGTGCACTTGCTAGTGTTTGAAAATTGTAACAACAAGTTTTTGGCGCCATTGTCGGGGAATTTGAGTTTCAATATCATTAGTAACAAAAAATTACTAGATTGAGTTTTTATTTTCTTAATTTTTCTCTGCAGTTAGTATTATATTCAAGTAATTTGTTTTGGTCTTAAAAGATAAGTGTAGGATACAGTAGACAATTTCTGCATGATTCTGTAATTCTGCATAATTTTACAGTTGTTAGACTGGACCTTGATATGATTTTGCTGATATTTTTCTGAATAATCTTTGTTAGTGTATATCTTAATATTGAATTTTAGTTTAACTTGTTAATTTTGATTTGTATATGCGAGGGAAAAACAAAAATAAAGCCACTTTAGTATTTGATCAACACATAGACCAAACTCTAAGGAGGTTAAGAAGTGAAGCAAGATTTAAGCAAATTCAAAGAGAGGAACACAAAAGTTCTACAACATCACCTCAACCCAGTCAAATTCCAAGACAAATAAATATAGGAGAACAACCAAGACTGAGAATACTAAGGGACTATGTAGTTCCTAATTTACAAGGATTCAGTTCTTCTGAATCCATGTTTGCTCAAAATCAACTTCAAAATCAACAATTTTCTGAACATTTTGCTGCCTTAACTCAACAAATAAGTAACATGCAGACTGGTGTAGTTTAAAATTCACAACTGAGTTGTGATTTATGTGGTGGCAACCATGTGAATGGAGCTTGTGATCCCACAGTTATAGAACAACCTGATCAAGTCAACTATATAGGCAATTATCAAAGGCCATAAAAACCATATCCACCTGGTTTCTAGCTAAATAACAATAGAGGACAGCAGTTTTCTAAGTGGAATCCATAGAATTCTACTGCAAGCAAAAATACAGCTACTGCATCGTTCCAAAGTGCAGCTCCTCAAGTCCAGCAACAATATTTTCAAGGAAGTTTTTCTGCACAATTTCAGAAAAACTAAGGGTATTTAAATTCAAGACCCTTGAGTGAGAAAGTGAATGGAATTGAAAAGACATTACTGCAATTTATGAAGGTGCAGAAACTAATTTCAAAAATCAAGAAAGTTCTATACAGAAGTTAGAAACACAAATCGGGCAGTTGGTTGAGCAACTTGCAAATAGAGATGAAGGAAGGTTCCCTAGTAGCACAATAGTGAATCCAAAGGAACAATGCCAAGCTATAACCACTAGAAGTGGAGCAGTAGTTTCCAGCCCAAGAAAGAAAGATGAAGTCACCAATTTGAAGGAAGAGAGTAAGCTGAAACAAGAAGATTTTGAAAGTGGAAAATATACTATGTTAAAGAGAGGAGATGATGAAGAAAACTGCAGAAATAAGCAAGTAAAAAAGGGCAAGAAGCAAAGATTTGAGTAGGCCTGCAAACCTATTAATGAATAGCAGTACAAGAGATTACCTTTTCCAAAAAGAGTACAAGATCCTAGCAAGAAAAGTAGTTTGAAAGGTTCATTGATATGTTCAAGAAGCTCCAAATTAATATACCATTTGCAGAGGCATTAAAACAAATGTCTTCTTATGCAAAGTTTATGAAAGAGCTCTTGTCTAAAAAGAGGAAGCTGGATATGGAAAAATTGGTACCACTCACTGAAGAGTGCAGTGCCATTTTGCAAAGAAAACTGCCTCAAAAATTGAAGGATCTAGGGTCATTTAGCATACCCTGCTTTATTGGAAACTGCACAATAGGAAAAACTCTTTGTGATTTGGGGGCAAGCATAAATTTAATGCCTTTAGCCATTATGAAGAAGCTGGGAATTGAAGAGGTAAAGCCAACAGGGATAACACTTCAACTAGCAGACAAATCTTATACATATCCCTATGGAGTAGTGGAAGACCTCTTAGTCAAGGTAGACAAGTTTATATTCCTTGCAGACTTTGTTATACTTGATATGGAGGTAGATGTGGATATCCCTCTCATATTAGGAAGGCCATTTTTAGCCACAGGGAGAGCCTTAATAGATGTGTAGAAAGGAGAATTGATGCTGAGAGTACAAGAGGAGAAAGTCATTTTTAATGTATTTGAGGCCATCAAACATCTAAGTGATGATATGAGCTGCATGAAGATTGATGTAATAGATGCTGTGATACCACATTCCTTGGAGAAAAATGATAAAAGTGCAGTCTTGGAAAGCACATTAGCTGCAGCAAAATGTAGTATTCATGAAGAGCAAGATAAGGAAGTGAAAGACTGTATTTTGCAATTAGATTCCCTTTCCTGTATGAACAATGAAATAAACCAACTCAATGAAGAACTACATCAAGAAGAAGAAAAGAAAGATGAGTCAAAGGTGGAACTTAAGCAATTACCCTCTCATTTGAGGTATGTGTTTCTTGAAGAGGGCCATAACAAACCTATAATAATAAACAACAATCTGCAGAAAGACCAAGAAGAAAAGCTCTTGAGAGTATTAAGAGAGCACAAATCTACACTAGGATAGTAGATTTCAGATCTGAAAGGTATAGATCCCTTTTTCTGCATGCATAGAATTTTATTTGAGGAGAATTGCAAGCCTGTTGTCCAACCTCAAAGAAAACTTAATCCAACTATGAAGGAGGTAGTGAGGCAAGAGGTGATGAAACTACTAGATGTAGGACTTATTTATCCAATTTCAGATAGTTCATGGGTGAGTTCGGTTCATATGGTGCCTAACAAAGGAGGTATAATTGTTGTTCCAAATGAAAAAAAATGAATTAATACCTACTAGGACAATAATCGGATGGCGAATGTGCATAGATTATAGGAAGTTGAATGATGCATCAAGAAAAGATCATTTTCCTCTTCCATTTGCTGACCAAATGCTGGAGAGATTGGCTAGGTTTGACTATTATTGTTTCGTAGAGGGATATTCTGGTTACAACCAGATTGCAATTGACCCAAGAGACCAAGAAAAGACAACATTCACTTGTCTATTTAGAGTTTTTTCATATAGAAGAATATCATTTGCGCTGTGCAATGCTCCAGCTACATTCCAAAGGTGTATGTTGTCCATTTTTCTGATATGATTGAAAGAATTATAGAAGTTTTTACGGATGATTTTTCTGTATTTGGTAATTCTTTTGATCAGTGTCTAGCTAATCTATCTCTTGTTTTGCAGCGTTGTCAAGACTCAAATCTTGTGCTCAATTGGGAAAAGTACCATTTTATGGTACAAGAAGAGATAGTTTTAGGACATAAAATTTTAGCAAAGGGAATGAAAGTGGATCCTACAAAAGTAGAAGTAATTGAGAAGCTGCCTCCACCTGTAAATGTCAGAGGAGTAAGAAGCTTTTTGGGACATGCTGGATTCTATCGCAGGTTTATTAAAGGCTTTTCTAAAATTGTCAAGCCATTGAGTGAATTGTTGAGTAAGGATGTAGAATTCATTTTTAATGACAAATGTTTAAATACTTTTAACACTTTGAAAGAGAAATTAATTTCTGCATCTGTACTTGTTAAACCAGATTGGGAATTGCCTTTTGAGCTGATGTGTGATGCTAGTGATGTAGCAATAGGAGCAGTTTTAGGCAACAAAAAAAAAGACAAGAAACTGCATGTCATTCATTATGTTAGTAGAGTTCTGAACACTGCACAAGTTAACTACACTACTACTGAAAAAGAACTCTTAGCTATAGTTTTTGCATTTGACAAGTTTCAGTCTTATTTGATAGGGTCCAAGGTTATAGTTTACACTGACCATGCTGCTCTTAAGTATCTTTTGTCAAAGTAGGATGCCAAGCCCAGATTATTAAGGTAGATTTTACTCCTCTAAGAATTCGAGTTAGAGATCAAAGACAAGAAAGGGAAGGAGAATGGAGTTGCTGACCATTTGTCAAGATTACTACTTGAGGCAATACCATTTGAAGTGAAGCAAATAAAAGAAGAGTTTCCAGATGAGAGCTTATTCAAGATTGAATCCCAGCCCTGGTTTGGTGAAATGTCCAACTTTAAAGCTACACATCATGTTCCAAATTGGATGAGTTGGCAGCAAAGAAAGAAATTCTTCCATGACAACAAATATTATGTGTGGGAAGATTCATTACTGTTCAAAATTGGAATAGATGGGCTGCTGAGAAGGTGTATACCAGAGGAAGAGCAAGAAGATATTTTTTGACACTGTCATAGTTCAGAATATGGAGGACATCATGGAATTTCAAGGACAGCAGCCAAGGTCCTGCAATCTGGTTTTTTCTGGCCAACTTTGTTCAAGGATGCCAAGAACTATGTGGAAAGATGTGATAGATGCCAGAGAATGGGAAATATTTCTAGGAAACATGAGATGCTACTACAAAACATACTTGAGGTAGAACTATTTGACATGTGGGGAATAGACTTCATGGGTCCTTTCCCTAGCTCATTTTCGAATGAATATATGTTAGTAGCAGTTGACTATGTGTCCAAATGGGTGGAAGCAATTCCTACCAGATCCAATGATGCAAGGACTGTTATTTCATTCATAAAAAAAAATATTTTTTCAAGATTTGGAGTGCCTAGAATTCTGATAAGTGATAGAGGAAACCATTTCTGCAACAAATATCTAGAATTAGTCCTAAAGAAATAAAACAGATTTTGGAGAAAGTGATAAGTAGTTCAAGGAAGGACTGGTCCAAGAAAGCGGATGATGCTCTGTGGGCATATAGGACAGCCTTCAAGACACCAATTAGGATGTCTCTTTATCAGTTAGTGTATGGAAAGGCTTGCCACTTACCAATGGAGCTAGAACATAAAGCCTTTTGGGCTGTAAAATGATTGAATTTTGACCAAGTTAGTGCAGGAAACAAAAGACTGTTACAGATGCATGAATTGGATGAGTTCAGACTCAATGCATATGAAAATGCCAAAATATACAAGGAAAGGACCAAAAAGATGCATGACAGATTTATTCTGAAAAGGGATATCAAACTTGGACAATCTGTGTTACTTTTTAATTCAAGATTGAGATTGTTTCCAGGGAAGTTAAAATCCAAGCGGTCTTGATCTTTTGTGGTGAAAGAGGTATTTCCATATTGTGTTGTACTAGTAGCTGATCCAAAGGATGGGAGAGAGTTCAAAGTGAATGGGCAGAGACTAAAAATTTACCTTGGTGGTCAAGTAGAGAAAGCCCAAGTGTGTATGAAATTGGTTCCTCTTGAGTGAGGAACAACTAATGTCAAGCTAGTGACATTAAAGAAGCACTTTGTGAGAGGCAACTAACATTTCTAACCCATTTTAAGCTTTCTATAGTGTTTTAGAATTTTGCATATTCATGTTTTACAATCTTCAACTTTTCTGCAAAAATTCTGCAAATATTCTGTTAAGTCTGTTTTTTGAGGTGCATTTGGGTACTTAAATTGAGATTCAATGCTTAGAGTGTGACAATTGAGTTAATGGAGTTTTGAAAGGTAATTGACTAATGAAAGGAGTTACTATGTTGCAGGGAAGGAGCTACGCAGAGAGGAAATCTTGAGGATACCCTATGGAGTAATCACTTTTACTGATAAAAGTGATCACGCAGAGGCATCAAGGTAATACACTTCTCTGGAACACTCACTCTCACTGATGAGAGTGATTACGCAGAGACAGATGGGAAAATTAACTCTCTGGAACATTTCTTTTTACTGGTAAAAGTGGCTACGCACAAGTAAGTAGACTTTTAATCTTTGTACGTTACTCCTTTTATTCAAAAAAGTTGTCACGAGGCTGTGCGTTATCACTTTGCCTAGCAATAGTGATAACACGACCCTCACCCTAAAAAATCAACTCTCTAGAACACTCACTCTGATTAAAAATAGTGATGATGTTGGGACCATTTAATGATTCAACGTTCACTTTTGATTTTAAAAGTAGTCACGTGCCAAACATATCTATAAATACTCCCTATCATGAACACACACACACACACACATTCACTCTTAAAATTCAACTTCTTTTTGAACATCCTTTGCATTCTAAATCTCTCTGTGTGTCGACAAACAACAACAAGCTTTTTCTCACTCATTTCTGCATTTCCCTATAAGGTACGCACACCCTCATTTCTCTGAAACTGTGGATTAGTTTTTTTTTCCTATGCTTAATGTTTTTGGGTAATCATGTTGGGGTAGTGACAAACTATTCTGATAGGGCATTACTCTGAATAGGGTTTATTTGGCATGTATGAATTTTGAGGGAGATTCTAATCTGCATTATACCATTCAGCTAAATAAAATTTATGCAGAAACTGAGTTGACCTAAAAGAAGGCTTCAGTGAAAAAGAAAATAGAATTATTGAACATTAATTTCTGAAATTGATGATGAAACTAGATTGAATGTGCAAAACTGTGATGGAAAATAGTTAAAAATTGAAATGTGCCCCTTGCTATTACCTTGTTGTGCTTTAATAGTGTATACATTCTTAAATTGCTATTTAGGGATACAATTGAATTCATTTTGGAGTAATGAGAACTGCTCTAATATTATTTGATTCAATAATAGAGTGGACAAAATGCTGAATAGGTGTTCTCTGGAAATTGTGATATTTTGTTGAGATAATTGAACCTAAATTACACATTGTATGAGTAAAGCTATGCAAAATCTAAGTTGATCTAATTAAATATTTTTGAAAATGTTGAATTGATGATTAGAGTGCATAACTGTGGTTGAAAAATTAATTAAGTCCTGTGATAATTCTTCTGTGTTAACATGAAATGCACTGAGAGTGTTCACATTGAACTTAATTACCAGGATTTAACATACTCTAACTGTGAATGATTAATGTTGTGCAATTGTACTTGTGTATTTGTATGATGATTTAATCTGATAGCAAACTGCATATTATTTTTTAAAAAACAATGGAATTTCTGTAATTTGTTTGATGGAATTTTCTTCATTACAGAATCTATACTTCTGCAGCTGTGTTTAGTAAAAATCTAAACTGGGCAATTAGCTCTTCATTGCAGAACTTGAAAAATGGTCAGAACTTCTATGAACACACCAATTAGCTCCTCTAGGAAGACTCAGGCTGGATCTTCCAGC